GCCAATCAAGAAGCCGGGCGGCAAGTAATGACCCTCCTCCCAGCTTCCTGATTGGCCAAGAAGCCGGCTCAATGATGATTGGCTGGAAGCCGGCTTTCCAGCCAATAAACAATGAGTCGGCTGTTCGGCTGGCTCAATGCTTATTGGCTGAGAAGCTGGCTTCCCTCGCAATCAGCATGGAGCCGGCTGTTCAGCAAGCTTCATGCTGATTGGCCGGAAAACCGGCTTCCCGGCCAATCAGGAAGCCGGGAGGCAGGTCATTACTTGCCGCCCCGCTTCTTGATCGCACTGGAAGCGGGCTCCATGTTTCCCTTCCTTTGACCGGAAGTTCCAGTATCTGGGAAGGTATCAGAGCATTAGAGCGAGTACAAGTACTCTCCGAAATACTCGATATCGGCACTGATACCGATACTAGTATTGGTATTGGTGCATCCCTAATGTCTAGTCTAATGTGCATTCTACAATACACAGTGCATGAATGTGCGTATCATCAACTCAATCTCCTTGTTATGGCGATCGCTTTAGTGGCTATTTAGCGCTTAACATACAGAAATAAAAATGCGTCATCAAGGCATTTAGTGGCATCCAAAAACTTAAGTTAAACTATAACAATAATGCATTAAACACATTTTATTTATGAATGGATGGATGGGTGGCTCATTATTTTGAGAGAACCACAGTAATATTTGATCCAGCTAGCAGGTTTTTTATGACAAGCTGATGGAGATCTCGGTTGGAATACTGCTTGTTCTAGTTCAGGGCTGTGCACTGGTTCAAAGCTGAAAAAAGTGGTTTGTTCTCATTTCTACACCCAGCACATTTTCGTGGTTAAGCAGTCTGTGTCACAGGGTTATGAATCAGAATGTTAGTGTACATAACAGCGTCCCATGAGTATGAGCCACCCGGTGAAATGAAAACATCTGCTTTAGAATTCATACTTGCGTTTTTTCCAGATGAAGACATTATGTGTTATATCTAGATGGATCCCGCTTACTTTTAGATTTAATACTATACAATGTTATGTGCAGTGTGTATTAAAGTAGTATGAAACTCTCAAACTTTTCTCAATAATGAATCCAAATCAAACAAATATACATCCCCCAGCAAAGTATTTCTTGCCCATACACATACAGTCCTTGTGTTTCCAAACAGTTGGCTTAAACTCTCTCAGCTCGGCTTCCTTGAACTTCTTGTCCAGTACAAGATCACAAGGGACAGAGCAGACTTCAGGAGCAATCCATCTACTAGCTTGGAGAAAGAAGAAACAGGGGACTGACTTGCCTTGCTGCACCTGTGTGTTTGTGGAGACACAGCTTACTTGCACTAACAAGGATGGCTTCATAGGACCCTGCAAGGGAAAGGGGCCAACCTAAAACAGGATATCAGGACCAGTGTTTTGGTTTTATATAGGGTGGTGAGGGGTTAGCAAGCTTGTAAGGTCACTGGAACTGAGAATGAGGGGAAATCTAAAAAATTTGGCTTGCTACTGGAACAGGAATAGAATGGAAGTCTTTCAATGGGGGATCCTTGCAGTGTATAAGGCTCCATTCACATCTATGCGATGCGGGAGTGCGTGCAATGCCATGCACAATCCTACATTGTATTTTCCAATGTTAGGTGTGATGCGGGACTGCATGCAATGCCATGCACAATCTTACATTGTATTTTCCAATGTTAGGCGCAATGCGGGAGTGCGTGCAATGCCATGCACAATCCTACATTGTATTTTCCAATGTTAGGTGTGATGCGGTGCCAGTATTTCTTAATGGCATTCAAATGCATCTAGCTTCCAACTCTCTCAGCTCAACTTCCCTGAATTTCCTGTCCAGTACAAGATCACAAGGGACAGAGCAGTCTCCAGCAGCTGTCCATCTATTAGCTAGGAGAAGGAGGGAGAGAGTTGTGGGGAGAAAGGGGTGGGGATTGGCTTGCTTTGCTGTGTGTGTGCAGACACACACAGCTTGCTAACACATACAAGAGTGGCTCCATAGGACCCTGCAAGGGAAAGGAGCCGCCCTAAAACAGGATATCACGAACAGTGCTCAGGGGACCAGCTGAACGTGCAGTAAACATTTGAACAGCAAGGAGTAGTGTCCATTGTAAGTGATTTATGCAGCATTTGAAATAACTTAAAAACATTTTGACTTTAATGTGAGTTTAAATCTACTGTAACAAGGACACTCCACTGTAGTCCAGGTAAGTCAAGTAAAACGCAGTTTATTAAAGGGCAAACACAAAATAGCTTGCATCAGCAACATAAGACAGTCCTTGTTATGGCTCTGTAGCTTTCCTCAGCTTCAAGACACTCACGCTGCTCACCCCTCGTGAGCCCTCACTCTGCTCTCTTAGCAGTCTGTACCGCAGGTCCTAGGATCACCGACCTTCCTGACCTCTCCCCTCGTGGGCACTCGCTCTGCTCTCCCAGCAGTCCGTACCGCAGGTCCTAGGGTCACCGACCTTCCTGACCGCTCCCAGCTACCCCTGGCTGTTCCGTGTGCGTCCATCACGCACCCGAGGTGGTCTGTGTCCGTGTGCTCCCTGCACACACACAACTCCAACACTCTCTGAGCACTGGGCTGGCTTCCTGATAAGGCTGCTCTCAGCCACCTGATCAGCCCAGGCTGGTCATTGGCAACACCTGGCCCCAGGACTGGAGATCTCATCCCACCCAGAGCTCTACGAAATCTCCAGAGCTCCAGATCCCAGCTGCAAATAGGAAAACCTGGAATAACCTGAAAAGCCAGGTTCTTCCTTATAACATGCTTTACCTTCTGGACCCTCTCAGCCCCTTTGGCTGAGAGTCCTGGGTACCAAGGTCGCCATCCTCCACCGTGGCATTGGCTTACACTGCCACACTACTTTAAAGGTAACTAATAGCAACCAATCAGATTTTGACTTTTATTATATTAGAGCAGTGTTAATATTTAACAGTAATTGTTGGTGGTTACTAAAGGCTACTGCACTTTTACATATAGCTTTTTGCAATCTTTAATTATCCTGGCACTGGACTATACAGAAGGTGTCACAGGCCGTGACCAACAGTAACCAATCAGAATGTAACTTTCCTGATTTTAAATCAATAAACTGAAATGTTGGTAGTCATGGCTCTTCACACATCATCTGCGCTCCCCGGATCGCACTATTGAATGATCCCGATAGCTGTTCATTGTTCTGGTGTATGTAAGCTCAGAAATTGAGGCAGCAAGAACCGGAAGACAAATAATGGAAGTTTACCTCATACCCCGTGGAATTCCCTCGCATATTTTAAAACCTGCCTTGCACTCTGCGCACACCTGGAAAAACACAGATTTATGTGACCCCATGTTCTTGGGCTAAGGTAATGTAAAGAATATAAAATTGTGAACCAAACCCGGGGGTTTACTTTGGAACAAATACGTGTGATGCATTCTCCTTACAATGTATAATTACGTTTTTGAAAAAAAAATATATTTTTCTTTAAAGGCCAGTATTGTGAGCGCACTGCCGCCAGTCCAGAAAATAACCGAATACGACGTATATAACAAAAACATAACAGACTGTGTATATTTCAACATGTTGTTAGCTTTGGATACATGTATCAGATGTGGGATTGCTTCTGTGAAGAAAATTAGGGGCAACACCATTTTTCAGTGTTCTCCCCCCTTTTTCGCCCTCCTCTCCATCCCCTGTCCTCCAGAGACTGTCTCTTGGCTTCAGACTAAACATATAATCGGCTGAGTCATATATTTACTCAGAGCTATGGCAGCAGCAATAGGGAGATGCTTTCACTTAGTTTGAGGTGACCTGACAGCGACTACTCGGATCAGTTCTGAGGTCAGGGCTCCCTCTGCTGATATTTGCCGTAATTTCAGGAACACATTACGCCTCTCCGGCCTGTTTTGGTTGGCTTTTGTTTGAATCCCAAAATGTGCTGTAAACGACATATAACGGGGTAATTTTGTATACCACTGCATGATAATTTCCTATTATATGGTGTTTGGGACACAGTAACTCCAGGCAGATATTAAACATGCAGCTCTGTAGTCATTAACCCTTTCGCTGCCAAGGACGTACGTCGTACGGAGCTACAAAAGTGCTTCCAGCTGGCCAGCTCAGTACGTCGTACGGACCTGGCATTTACAGTTCTACTATAAGCTGATGGTCACTTTAGCAACCATCAGCTTATAGTAGAACTGTTCATCAGACTGTCCCCTTTAAATTAATAGTAGGAAAAAATTGCAGAAAATTCAAAAATGGCTTGGCCAGCTGATTTGAAAAATGTTCCGGAGGGCTTGGCAGCGAAAGGGTTAATACATTCTAAACCAACCTTAGGGCCAGAGCTGTTTTTTCATTTTTGCACACGTGCTAAAATCTGAATTTTTGGATAAACAATTACTTTAAACTCCCAAAGAGTTATATATTTTCTGAAAGCAGAGGCCCTGGAGAAAAAAAAATGGTTTTAAATGCATACGGAATTGTATTGGATTGCATATGGTAATCACAGGTTAGTACACGATTGGACAGCTTTATAGCCGCCCTGTACTTTGATAAGCTTTGCCTGCTGAAAAATATGATGCCAAAATCCTGCACATGTGCATGGGAATTATTTCTTAACGTATATTCGCCCAAACAAAAAAATAAAAACAAAACACTCCAGGAAGAAGAACCCCACGATTCAGGTGAGTGGGCGGAGGGAGCTGGCGGTTTGGGGAGAGGGGTTGCTGGGCAATGTGACCATATTTCATGTTACATCCTGAATATGGTGAGGTATGCTTTTAAAGAATAGGTAGATGCAGATGGAGCTCTCTCTGCTTTGGCCAGTTTGTGCAGTTGTGGGCACAGTGGCAATCCATAGAATAGAACGGGCAACCTCCAAAAGCAGAAACATTTTGCAAACACTCCTTGGCCCTATAGTAGGAAACCACCATCATCTTCAGCAGTACTCAGAGGTTAATATTTACCATTAACTTTTTAAGATGAGATCAAATCTAACCCTGCCTTTTATCTCACATTCTTTCTAGCCGAAGACCTCCTCCATCGCCCACACGTCTGCCTACCATTCGCTCAGCGGACTCAACCTTGTTAGACTAAGACAGACTGACCTTCACTGCTCTGCATTGCAATGTCCAGTTCTCTTCCTGGCTATCTTCAAACTTTTATTACCATCATAGATGCTTCTGTGGACATCCTAGGACTAAATCACAGCTACAATTGTTACTTGTCTTTGGTATGCTGGGCTGTCAGTAGATATCAAACATATTTCCTTCTGCGTTATCATGTTAAGTTTAATGCAGATTTTCATTTATCTGATATTGTGAGACAACCAATGCAGCAACAACCAAGCAGAACATTGTGTGAGTAGTTATCCATTTGAATACATAAAACTAAGCCATGCCAAATAAAAATGCTAAAACAAAAACTTGAATTTTCCTATTGTAAGAGAAGCTTCTTTTTCAAAAACTGAGACTTTTATGCGAAAAATAGAATAGTAGTCAATCTCTTTCTTTGAAATATCCCAATGCATATACAACAATATGTTGTTTGTCTTTTTTTAATTTGTTTTTTATTTTATTTCATCTGTTTCTAACCTCTAGATTCAAAATATGAGGTTTTTCTTGCATAGGTTTGCAAACATAATGTATGTTAAGCCACACTGCAGCAACAGGCACCTCTACACAATGCGGTCCTTATCTCTAAACCCTATGAACGCCCGACCTGGGACATACAGTATACAAAGCAATGAATAAACTGACAGCAGACTTAACTTGTAAGTAACCCCATCTTTCTTAAAAGTCCATATTTGCTAAATGAAGCTAAAGATTCCCAATGTTTGTTTGCACTAAATCTAACAAACCAATAAATGGCAGCTGTTCCATCTTGATCCAACGGGGCTACCAATAAAGGTAGCCTGCTCTTATTTCTGAAATATACATACACTGATCAGTCATAATATAATGACCACCTCCCTAATATTGAGTAGGTTCCCCTTTTGATGCAAAAACTACCCTGACCAGTTAATTTATGGACTCCACTAGACCTCTGAAGGTATCCTGAGGTATCTGGCACCAAGCCATTAGTAGCAGTCCTCTAAGTTGCGAGGTGAGGCCTCCATGGATCTGACTTTTTTTTTTAGCACATCCCACAGATGCTAAATTGGATTGAGATGTGGAGAATCTGAAGCCCAAATCAACACCTCAAACTTGTTGTGTTCCTCAAACCATTCTTGAACCATGTTTGCAGTGTGGCAGGGGGCATTATCCTGCTGGAAGAGGGCACTGTCATTAAGGAATACCATTTGCATGAAGGGGAGTACTTGGTCAGCAACAATGTTTATGTTGGTGGTACGTGTCAAAATAACATTCACATGAATAACAGGACCCAGCGTTTCCCAGCAAAGCATCACACTGCCTCTGCCAGCTTGCCTTTCTCCCATAGTGCATCCTGGTCCCATCTCTTCCCCAGGTAAGCGACACAAGCACTCAGTTATCCACGTGATGTAAAAGGAAACATTATTCATCAGACCAGGCCACCTTCTTCCATTGCTCCTTGGTTCAGTTGTGATGTTCACGTGGCCATTGTAGGTGCTTTTGGCGGTGGACACTGGTCATCATGGGCACCCTGACTCGTCTGGTCTGGTACGTAGCTCCATATGCAATAAACTGATGCACTGTGTGTTCAGACACCTTTCTATCCTAAGGAGCATTAACTTTTTCAGGTTGAGCTACAGTAGCTCTTCTATTGGTTCAGACTACATGGGGCCAGCCTTTCGCACCCCACTTGCATGAACGAGCCTTGGCCGCCCATGACTCTGTCCCCAGTTCACTGCTTCCTTGCTCCACTCTTGGTAAGTCCTGACCACTGCAGACTGGGAACATCCCACATGAGCTGCAGTTTTGGAGTTGCTCTGACCCAGTCATCTGTCATCTATGGCAAGCACTGTAATTGTGAACCCATCCAAACATCTGGCAACGCAATTCTGACACACACCTAGACACACACGCTAGAGCTGCTATCTAGCACACCCAGACACACACGTATCCACTAGAGCTACTGGGCCTGTAAGGTTGGTGCAGAATAAGGAATGTACAGCACAGTGTACAGAATGGGGCAATGTGGAATATAACATGTACAACAAGGTGTATAGGCTGTCCCTCGATTGGGGCCCCAAGGATGAGGAAAGGTGTGTGCCTCCTTAGTTATATTGTGCCTCTTTAGTTATATTGTGCCCTATTCAGATCTCCATCAGAGTGAACCTACATGGATTGCAGTGACACCAAAGCCGATCAGTCCCCCAGTCCCAGGGATGAGGAGAGGTGTTTGCTCTTTCAGTTAAACTGAAACACCAAGTGACGAGGGAACATGGGGCGAGTCATTACCCGCCCCTCCCCCCCGGCTTTCTGATTGGCTGGGAAGCTGGCTCCATGCTCCCTGGTAACGAAGCAGCATGAAGCTGGTTTGCCAGTTAATCAGGAAGCCGGGCGGCATGTAATGACTGAAATCGGAAGTTCTGGTATCGGAATAAGCATTAGAGTATTTGGTGCTAGTATCGGTGCATCCCTAGCAACCAATCAGCTTCTCTCTCCAGTTAAGCTTTGAAATTGAAAGATAGAAGCTAATTGGCTGCTATGGCCAACTGCACCAATTTTGATAGATTCCCCTCATTGTGCTGAAAGATTTCCCTCTTTCTTATCTCAGAAAGTTGGGAAGTATGTTATATATGTCATGCTAATTTGTTTGTATATCTGCATGCATCTCACTAATGTAAATGTATCAGTGTATGTCTGGAAGTCCTTCTTTGCCAGTGAATGCCAGTTAGTGTAGGTTTGTCAATTAATGTATGCTGTGTGTTTAGGGGTAATCGGTTAAACATGGGGTCAAAGAAGGCTGAGGGTAGGGATAAGGGTCGCCAGGTCACTTAGTGATCAGAGGGATTATCTTTAGAGAGTGTTTTAATGGATGTGTGTTTTAGGGATTGTTAGTTTAGGGAGCTTAGCCCTTTCATGACCAGAGGTTATTCATTCCTAGATTTCCAGAAAAAAATCAGCAGTGTAAAGTATGTATCATTTAACTTGACCAGAACTCCACCTAAAAATAGGATTTGTTTTATATATGGTTGCAAAATTCTCAAAATCTGCTAAAAAAAAAAGTCTCATCAGCATGATGATCTTTCCCCACCTACTGTCAAGATGTGTGGATGTCTCTTTTCCCATTTCTTTACAACACATCCCTAACACTTGGATCCGATAAATAGTTTTAATGAGTTACAAGACAGAGTTTCACGGTCTTTCCCGCTATAGGGTTGTAACTTCCAATCTCCCTATTTCTTCCCAATTAGATGTGTACTTTTCTAAGGCCATTCAGGGACTCCCAGCTCAGAGAATTATTATCTTGGTTCCACATCAGAAGAGGTTCAAGGGCTTGCATTCCTACCTGTTCACTGTTCACAAGAAGGAAGAAATCCATCCCATTCCGGACCTCAAGGCCATAAATTGCTTTGTGCAGAATCAAACGTTCCAGATGGAATTAATTTACTCAGTTGTGGCCTCTCAGCCTAATTAAATCAATGAGGTGCTGCAAAGAATTCTCAACAGCCATCTCATGCCATGGCAGTCTGAACCATTCCATCACTGCCTAGGAGACCAAGGCTAAGAAAAAACAGGGCCAAGGAGCAAACCTGCTGTGGAGTAAAGTGATCTCAAGAGAAAGTTTAGGCTCTTGTTCACTTTGCCCTTAAAGCTGAAACCCACGATTATTTTAACTACCCTTGCAGTAAGGCTCCCCCCATAACGCAAGGGTTAAATGCTCATTTTTGCCTAAGGCAACATTAAAAAGTAGTTGTACTTAACTTATCCATCGCTTCCACAAGCTTCCTCCTTTTTGTCTGACCTGTCCCCCAAAGCCACTTCTCTTTGGCGCTCCATCAATCAGTCACACTCTGACGTCATCAGGTTCAATGCAGGACCAGCAGGCCTGTATTGTAGGTGAGGATGCTGAGGGCCTGCCCACAATCCGAAGCATCAGAGAGAATAGCATCAGTTGCCAGGGGAGCGAGGGATAAGATAAGTGAAACTGCTTATAAAGGAGAAGCATTGGAAGATACTGGAAGCATTAGGAAGATTAGCATCTTCCTAATGCTTAGTACTGGTGTGTGACACTGCCAGTATCACTTGTTGGCTCTATAGATCAAGAGCTGAGTTATCATTTTAGATTGTAGGCCCTCAGGGGCTGGGCCCTCCTTACCATCTTGTCTTGAATTGTATTGTGATTGTAATGTCTTCCTTATATTGTAAAGCGCTGTGCAAACTGTTGGCACTATATGAATCCTGTATAATAATAATAATAATCATGAACTGCTGATTGCTCAGCTCACGCAGAGAGTGGTGATTGTCAGTCACCACTCCACACAGGATTCGCCCCTCCCCTCTCTGTTCCTGCCTTATAAAGTGCTCTCTAGGTACACAGTGGTTACAATGAACGGCCTTACCCACCGCACGTGAGTTTTTGGGTGATTTGCAGTCTATTTGTAGTTAAGCCAAAATAACAAGATAAAATGAATAGCCCATTAAATGATAAAATAACAAAACCAGCTGCAATACTCACCTTCAATCCAGAGATTCCCCAAAGTACTTTTTTCAGCCCTCAGACTGATGGCAAGCTTCATTCAACCCACTTCATCTGAGCCCAGGTCATCATGGACCCTCCCCAGGCTGTTACCTGACAGTGAAAGGAGAAGCAGCACAGTGATGAGCTTATCTCTCTGTCACTCTGCTTTCTCCTCCTAGCAGCATGCTTTATTTCAGCACATGAACTGATTGGCTCATTGCACTGCTTTTCCTTCTCACAATCTGGCCCTGCTGAACATGGACTCCGGATGTTCATGGCACGTCATATTCAGGTATTTACATTTACTGATGTATTGGTTACAGAACTTTACTATTTTGTGTCTTGAATCTGTCTAGAGTAACAAGTCCTCCTCCTGGGATTTGGAATCTGCTGCCTCTTTTCAACTGAAGCCATATTGCTATGGAACCCAACAGACCAGTCACAAAATGACCCAGTATCTTCTGCTGATGGAGTTCACTTGAATTTACTATCAGGCACCAGGGATGCTCCCTGCCAGATGCATGTGTGACTTGTTTGGCCTCAGATCACCAACATACAACTGTCT